TTTTTTTTTTTTTTTTTTTTTTTTTTTTTTTGAATTTTTTATGGACATTTTTCTGCATTAGTTTCAAATTTGTATAATTTAATTTGGTTTGTTTTGGAATTAATGAATACCTTTGCTTTGTTTTCTGCTATTTACCACTTTTTTGGCGCAGTTTACAGCTGTATTTTATTATTTTTCGCAACAACATAGGCTAAGATATGCTGTGTAATTCAGTTTTTCCTAGTGATCAAGATTTTTTAGGCTGTGGAGTAACATGTGTGATTTCGGACAGTTTTTTAACAGCTTTAAAGTTTGAAGTAAAAGAGAAAAGTAGTAGTTACATGTGGCAGTAGTTCAGTTAATGACACCATTTGTTCGACTATTTAGTTAAAATATCAATTTGGCCAATTTACAATTATTGTTATTGATTAGTGTATTCGTCTTCTGCGGTGTTATTGTCCTGTGTTGAAACTTGCGAACAAAGATATTTGGTTCTGGGCTTTGGGATTAGATCTAATTGAAAGTAAAGGAGTGACGGGATTTGCTTATTCATTTTTGCCGTTGTTATTGAATGTATGTTAGCAACAGAGGAGTCGCCTACACACTATAATTTTTTTTTGGTCTGGTTCTTATATAGCATTTTTCTTGATAGTGGTTATTTAAAAATAATGCTGAGACGGAACGGTTTTTTTTGGTTTGCATTAAAAAAGTAGTGTTTTTGGAGAAACGATTGGAAGCAGTATTCTTGGTGTCTATTAGTGTAAAGTTATTGGTCGTTAATGGTCATAGTTCTAATCATATTTGGTAGTAGTGGCGGAAAATTAGTACTTCGCAACTTTCTTCTGCACTTTGGTCTTATTGCGTCTTCCTGACGCCTGTTGTTTTGACTGGAAGACAGTTTACTTGAGGAAATATCTGCGGTTAGCAGGTGGGGATCAGCTGTAGAATAAAGGTCAGGTTCTGTTCACAGACATTTGGTGGTCGATTTTTATTTTGAAATTTCAACGTTCCTTGAGTGGTATTGAAAAGTGAAATTGCCTGGGCAGCTGCATAATTTCTGTGCTATTTAAAGTAGCAGTAAATGGTAGTCATATTGTCATTAAAAGAATGTTACAAATCATAACAGTTCAAGATGCAGTTTTTTTTTTTTCTTGCTGTTATTAGCAGACGTCAAAGCGGGCCTGGGGTCTGTAACACTGGTTTGCCGCGTGTAATTATTCCCGTGGTTGCTGGGACACTTGAGAAGTTTTTACACGGCTGTAAATGAAATGAGTAATCTTAGACAGTTGGAAAAGACGGGTTAATGTTTTCAAGTGTTGACGTGAAGAATAGGGGGAAAAACATATAAAACAGTTTATGTATGTACTTACTTGCTTGTTATGAATATTAAGATGCTTTTGAGTGAAGGGCTCAGGCTGGTCGATGTATCATCATCATCATCGTCATCGAGAGCGTTTGCAGTTTCGTCAATGAATTGAATGATGATGATGATCAGTTGGGCGCTGTGCGTTCTTCAGTGCATTCCCCTTTGCGGTCAGTAGTATCACGCCACCATTATCTCACCACCATCGGTCTATTTATTCAGTTCGCCTTAGTTGCATCTATTTACTCTTTGACGGTTCGAGTTTGCGGAATTGG